GAAGGTGTTCTTTGGCCTCTGTGAGCTCCGTTCGTAGCTGACGTACACGTTCGGTAGCGGTAACTGAGGGTGAAGACTGAAAGGCGTGTTAGTGATAAAAATAGTTCGGGTTCGGGTGTAGGCAGACCTTGGCAGCCGCTTTTGCCTCTTCTAACTCGCGTGACAACTTATGAACTGAGTCAGAAAACAGTTGGACCCGTCGGTCAGCTTCTCGGCCCTGCCGAGAGCGGTCGGCGCGCCGTACGATCAGCATAGCGGTGGGACGACATTGTTACGCTCATTCCGGAGATCGCCAGTGTCACTAGCCTGTTGCAAGTGGGCCTCTGTCGAGATGTCTAACTTCTCGTATCTGTTAAAAGTCAATCAACAGGGCTGAACAATCCGGGACTACGCACTTAATCATCGATTCCACAGGCGTCATGTCAATGCCAGTTTGAACGTTGTTCCACTTATGTTGGCCTTCACCGATGTTGGTTGACGATGGAAGCGAATTCCAGTCACCAGTGGGAAAATACGCACTGCAGTTATGGGATGCAAGCCAACCGTTGATCTCAAACATATGAAATTTACCCTTGACAGGTTTGAAGCTAGTGTCAAAGTCCAATGCCCGCAGATCATGGACATGACGCAGCAGCGCGTGATGTGCCCCGAAGCACCCTCTATGGCTAGATCTATGCATAAAATGCTGGTGAGGTCCACAGAAAGCTATCCATAAGATATGGGTGTTCCACCAGAGACCTCTAAGTGAGACTTGTGACAGAAATTGTGACAGGAGATCAAAACTGATATTACACAACAGGATTGACAGATATCACTTATGTAATATCATATATAATATCCTTAAGTCCTATTTCTTCAGGCCGATGACCCGGTATGTAGTTAGGGGGACTGTGTGATAGGGAAAAGAGATTATCATCCTAATTGGGATGAAATTGATGGATCTCTATATAGCCATCAGAATCACTGATGCCAATCAAAAATGGTTCCACATCAAGGTATATATCTAGATGCCATCACTTCATCACTGATAACCCTCTCAGGTAGTCTAATAATAATAAATTCAAGGCCTGTTATATATTACAAATAGCTGGACCCATATCTTATGCATAATATTCCCTGGACACCACCCATATCTTATGCATAGATCTGACTATAGGAGCTGCCCGAAGATGAGCCGCGAACCGCTGTGAGAGACCATACCATGGATGTAGCGAGACTTTGGATCATCAAGAGCTTGTTGACGTGCCACATAGGTTGCGATTTCTGCCAGCGAGCTCAGATTATATTCTGGAAATAATATGAAGCGAACCTTCTGCGGTGGTGCCAACATCATGGGTCAGTGACGTCTCAGATCGTACTTCGAGCAAAAGTCGCTGCTTGAGTTTGACATTGATAAGACTTGGATGATATTCGCTTGGCGTGGTGCCCAGGATTGCCAATGTCGAAGGCACTGAGAGTTAATTGAGAAAGCAGGACAGACGAGACAAATATAGTCTCACCAGTTTCAACGCGAGATACTGTCGCACCCAGTCCATATGCTTGTCCCACCTCTTTGTATTTCTCGCCGACCGTACACGGACATTTTGACCCAATCGGGCAGACATGTTTGTGTGGCTTTTCCGGATCGGGAACGACAATGAAGCACCGAACCAAGTCTTGAAACTTGGTCTCGTCGCGGTATGATAGCTCGACAGGGCAATAGATGGTGAGCTTTGCCATGCATGGTACGTGGTACAACATCGCGGTAAAGGGCTTGCCGTCTCTGAAATGATTGAAGTCTACAAGGTATCGATCAATAGTACGCAAGAAAGATGGGCAACATACCACATTCTCGACAGTTCCCAGAGAACCCTCGTAAACTACACACCATCGCACACTTTTCCTCGTAATCCTCATCCTCTAAGACTTTCTCATCGTTCCGCCGCATGCAGAATCTTGTCGTCAACCTCACCGGGAATTGGCGCGGACGAGTGGACTGAGCCTATGCTAACAGGTGCGCTACTATTATTACATTGCAGTCCATAGATTTTGCCATGCACACGCTGCAAGGATACTGGTCAGAACTTGTGAGTGCAAACCGGAGATATTACCTGCTTAAGCGCCGAAACGGTGCTCACAGTCCCTTTGCAACGAGTCCCATCAGCAAGAATAGCATGACAGTATACATGTTCCAACGAACGCGAAAAACTAGCAAATTTGTTGAGAAATAATTCGTGAAAGAGACAGGAAAAGCGGAAGCTACCTGACGGCTCGGCCAACCTCAGTATCATCTTGCTGTTCGTGTTGTCGAAGAGTTGCCTGAATGAGACGGGTACGGGGATTGGGGGTCAAGGTCGCGCTGCTCCTTGTTGATGAAACTCGGGTCCAGCGCTTCACATGCCATCACGCCTCCACAGATTGGTGTTGCCCGTCGATTTCGGGGTGTGGGAAGTCGGACGGGATGCCATGGACGCGTTCAAGTCGATATATTGTTTTGTGGCTGGTCAGCTTGAGACCCTGCGGGAATTCGACATATTCGGAGTGGATTCCTTCGTCGAGCCAAACCCGGTCCGAGGGCTTCCAGTCAAGCTCGAAGATATTGCCGCAGGTGAATGGATCGACTGCCGCCGGCCGCTTTCCACGGCCACGAGCACGTCTCGTGGGGCGGGCCTGATGATCAGGTGGGAGCGGAGAGGGAATACTGCCAGGGGAATAAGAGAGAACAAAGGCACACAACAGTCATACCTCAAGCCGTGAGTAGGCATGATAGGCGGCTCGTACGCTGGTGGGCTGCTTGATCTGCGGGATGTGAGATGGTTCCGGGGAACAGACAAAACACACCTTGTTGATGATGCAAAAGTGGACGCACAATCCCAGTCAAAGGGGTCAGTCGACGACCAGCGGGATATGGTGCTTGCTCTGATATTGGTCGATACAAAGGAAATCAAAACAGCGCATCACGCACCTATCATAGAAAAGCTCCATCGATTGGGTGTGCGTGGAGGAAGACAAATCCTGTTCAAAAGCTGCAAACCTGTGTTGCACCAGCTGGTCAGTAACATGAGAAATGCAAAAGCGGCTGCGCACCGGTTATCCAGATGCCCGGGCGTCATTAGCGTTCGTCCAGCCGTCGAAAACGAGGGATAGGGTTCGGCCCCGGTGTAGGCATCAGCTGGTCCAGATTGGAACAGCGGAGCAAACCGCAAATCAGGGAATTGGGGTGGAGACGCGTCCATTGGTCCGGGAAACGTGTGCTCCAGGCCAATGGAGCTTGACAGCAACTGCCATTGCTCCCTACATACACGGTCAGGTGGTAAGAACACGTTAGACACTGAATGACTCTTGCACCACGGTATGCCACGTTCAGCTCCGTTGACAGTTCCCATCCAAGAAGCGTCGCCATTCCATCTGGATGGATCCTCGTAGTTGCCGTACATCCTACAGGAGAGCGGAAAACTCTGCCATAAAGAAATGAGTAAGGGCGGGAAAGCACGTCAGTAAGACCATACCTGGCTGGATACACGCGAGCGTCGTCGTCGACGACGGCGAGAATGTGGGGGACGAGATGGAGGAAAGAAGCAAAAAAGAATGACAGCTGTCGTCACCGTGGTGTGACAACAGCTGTCAGTTGTCACTTTAGTGTGATGCGGACAACCTCACGAAGATCATGGAGATAACCGACCGGGGATCTGCCCGTTGCCCAACCTCACGAGCCGTGCCATCAACCTCACGAGCCGTGCCATCAACCGCACGAAGATCAGCCTGCCCACATCCACACGACTACAGATACAACCCTGTCATTTGGCAAGCAAGCACGTCAGTGCATATCTACATCGCTGATATCAAACTAAGCTATCAGACATTCCACTTACTTCAAAATTGTGGTTTAGCATCCAGAAGTTCTCCCAGAAGTGAGTTAATCTGCCTGAGGCTTGCCTGATGCCCGTAAAGCATCAGGCAGCCTGATGCCTTGGGACATGCCTCTGGTGTGACCTGTACCCAGGCCCGTTGTAACTTGTACCACCCCTAATAGGTATGAGAGCATACAAACCAGCCCTGTGTACTGTCCCAGCCCTATAACATTCCCAAAGTTGTTGTCTTATTCTCAGGGGACAGCATGTTCAGCACATGGCCCGGGCATAGACATGGGGATATGAAGACGGTGATTTTTTTTAGTCCCTGCTGCCTTGAACCTTGCTGAGTGATTCATTAATCTTTGCTGGGCCTGCAAGCCACAGCTTTTACTGTAGTAATTTATTCAATTCAGCAGTCACGCGTCACCCTCCGGCGCCAAAAAAATTTGGCGTGTCACGGGCTTACAGCCCGGATGCCAAATGTCGAGAAGCCATCAGACCTTAAATTTTTTCTTGCAGGCTAAATTCGCCCAGGATTTTCAGCAGTCACACAAGATTCCGCTCTTGGGCGCTTCCCGGATGCAGCCAACTCCATCATCCATGTATACTAGTACACATTCATAACCACTGGCATTACAGTACATACTTAGTCCTACATTCCCGACCCCAACCCGGGCCGTCCAACGCAAACCCTATGCGACCATCGACACGACGAACAGCCGAATCCCGACACGATACGTTTCTTTCATGGTCTTCCCCCCGTCCGCGCGGTCCTTTCCGCGGACGATCGCGGTTTTCCCTCAACTGATCCAACCCAGTTTCGCAGAACCGCCAAAGCAACTCGTGACCACACATGGCCACCGTGTGCCGGCGTCCTCAGGCTGCGCGCCAAAAGTCAAAAGTCAAAAGGGTCAGAAAACTCACGCTCATGGGCGCCGGGCCGCCGCGAACGGCCGCGGTCCGCGTCCCCGGCGGAGAGATCCCGCGCTACTAGCAGGCGCTCCCGAATGGACTCGGAGCCCGGTGACGCTGCTAAAATGTTAGTACTTCCTGCGCGGAAACGCGAAAGGACCGATTTGCCACGCATGCGGCATACACATTAGACGGTACAATAAGTGGGTACATTTTTTTCCGAAACAAACCGTTGTAAGTTGTAACCCTACGCCGCTACGCGACCATCGACACCACAAACAGCCGATACGTCTTCTCCCCGTCCCCGTCCCCTTCTTTGCCAGTGCCCGCGGCCGCGAGGGGCGGCGCGGCGAAGCGGACGGTGCGCGGCGTGTGGAGGCCGGGGACGGGCTTGTCGCTCTGCCCGCTGAGGCGCGACTGCCCGCGCATGAGGATGACTTCCAGGGACCGCGCGTGGAAGAAGTGCTGCGGGGCGTCAGCGCCGGCAACGGGCGGGATGAAAGGGAGGGAGGAGGGGACGGAAGAGGGGGGGGGGAAGGGAGAAGGAGGGACGCACGTGGTTCCACTTGTCGACGAGCAGCGCGACGAGCGCGGCCTTCTTGCCCTGCATGTGGTGCCGCAGCGCGCTCGCGATGGCGGCGTCTAGGGCCGTGAGCACGGGGTACTACTGGGAGGGGGGCGGCGCACTGATGACGGGCAGCATCGACAGGATCGGCACGCGGTACGCGTTCTGGCGGTCCCTCTCCGTGAGGCGCGCGGCGGTCCTGAGCTCATCAAGGAACCTGCAGAAACACTCAGTTAAACTCATGACAGCATCATGGTGGCGGACGACGCACTCGCGCCAGTCCCCCTCGCCGACGTCGTGCACGCTGAACGGGTGCGGGCTCTGGCCCGACGGCGGGGGGATCACGGGGAAGCCGCGCTTGAGCGAGTTGCCCTCCGCGAGCAGGAACATCGGCGCGAACGCCGCGGGCGCCACCGCCGCGCGCGGGCGCGTGAGCGACGCGGGCTGCGCCGGCCCGACGACGGTGACGGGGTGCAGGTTCAGCGCCGAGTGGGAGTGCGAGTGGGAATGGGAATGGGCGGGGGAATGCGGGGAGAGGGGCAGGTGGCCGTCGCTCGCGGCGGGCGGGGCGCTCCGCCACGCCGGGCTGAGCGTCGAGTACTCGGAGGCAGGGGAGAGCGACGAGGCGGCGCCCGGGTACGTCGCCCACGAGCGCACGGTCGCCGACGGGTACGGCGAGCCCGGGGCGAACTGCGCCGCTGTGCCCGTCCCGCCACCCTCGCCCTTCTCGCCGTGCGCGTCGCCGTCGTCTTCGGGGAGGAGGATCATCGCCTGAGGCAAGGGGCGAATGCCACGCCCCACCGTGACCCTCGAGGCGGTGTGGGGCGGTGCACCGTGCACTGCGGAGGAAGACAGCCTGAGGAAGGTGATCGCGTCGGGGAGATTAGCCGACCGTGCGAGCGCCGCCCTGCACGGCGTTCCCACGCGCTTCCGGCATGGCACGGAGAACGAAGCGGATACAAGTAACAAACGTGACGCGCCGTCCCTCCTTCGCAAGACGCCGGTTCGATCCTGTCGTGGAACCCTTCCTTTTTGCCTACACCAACTGCTAGCGCTAGCGCTCCCAGCGGATGCAGCGCCCGATCGGAAGTCTGCACTACCGGATTTCCACACATACATACTCGACAACCGCAGTCTCCCCTGTCAAAGCCCTCCACCCACCACTGCCAGCCCCGTGTGGCATCTGGCCGGTCCCACCTCACAGCACAGTCCACATTATGATCCCACGAGACACTGTGTTCAGCGCACAGCACAGGCATAAGGAACAGACTGCTAAGTTTCCTCCTAGTTTTTTTTTACTGACTCGGCAATGCAAAACATCAATCATTTCAAAGGAATATCACTGATATCATTCTTTCAACATGTTGACAACTGCAATATCATCCTTTTGCTATCCTCGTAATGGTCTAAACTGAATATCTATCATTTACAAGGACACCAAAAGGACTCGCGCGAGCCTCCTGAAAACTTTTGATTTGCAGGGATTGTCTGCTTAACCTGGGCATCTCCAGTGTCCTCCCTTCCGCATCAGGCTCCCCAGAGTTACAGTCAGTGTCAAACGTGGGCTGATAGACCCCGTCTGAGCCACTGGGAGCTCTAAACTGGTTTTTCCCACACACCCAGATCTTCAAAAGCTGCTTCCAAGTGGCCATTACAAGCTGCGTGGCACAACGACGGGCTGTGAGAACAGGCCTCTGCGCCCGGCCCGGATACCCGGCCTCGGCAGTGGTCTCCGGTGGTTCGAAACCGTCAGAGACTTTGGCACAGAGGGCAGCGACAGCCGGCTGTTGCTGATGTGCCCAAACACACAACAGGCCTCGCCAACATCTTTGATGCACCAGCCCTGTGAACTGGCTAGTCTGTCCCGGCCTTATATACCAGCCCAATCGATCATCTGAGGAGACACCGTGTTCGGCGCACAGCGTGGGCATATGTCGATTGCATTAGTTTCCTTTTAAGCTTTTTGCAGCTTCTGCCAATGTCTGCGCAGGGCAACACAAAACAGCGTGGCAGCTGTTCTGCATCCTCTGCCACCCGCTCCAGCATGTGCTGGCTCCTCTGCAGTCTCATCCTGCACAAATGTTACGCCAACCCTTCTTGATGCTTCCATCCAGTATGCTTTACACTGCTCTGGCCGGCCTGCCCTGTGCCAGACCCCAGACTCTTGGGCCTGGGAAAAAGGACTGTATCAGCCACAAGTTCGACCAATAAGAGACCACCGAAGCCCTGTGCACCGGAATTGTCCTCGCCTCAGCATAATGCATTGATGATTGGAAAGGTGTCTTCCGGCAACACTGTGTTCTATACACAGCACAGGCATGACTGGACCCCCTGGATCTTTATTTCTTGGTGGCACCCTCTCCCAGTAAGAATGTCTGGGAGCACTAGTCCCAGTGTGACCCCAGCCTTCAGCTAAAATGTGCATCAGCCAGATAAGACACTGCAATCCTGCCCTCTCTATTCCCATCAGGCAGAGATATGACAACTGCGTACTGATGAAATATGACATGACAAACTGTTTGCTCTACTGTTTGCAGTTGCACACACAATACAGCCAGATGGACAGCCACCAGACATTATAATATTCTTCTGTATATAGTCTCTGTGAGGAGCTGTCACATCATATGCTCCCCTTACCCATATCAGCACCCTCATATGCTATTTCTGAATGATTGGGCTCCTTAGACAGAAAAAGTCCTAACCTTGCGTGCCCTCACCAAACCATAACTTAATAGACATATTGTTATATCCCGTGCATCTTCGGACGCTCCGAGGTTATCCTTGGAGCGCAACAGGGTTTTTACGCGATGAAGGTATCTGAGCGTTTCCCTTCAAACAGTTAATCTGCACGCAGACTCTCTCGGACCTGTTCGGACCCTCCGACCATCAACTCGGATCTTTACCCATTTGGACTTGCGTTTGTTTACTTATATCCTTTAGGCGTTCGCCTTGTTTCCTTTGCCTCGTGTATGTCTTCTCGTTCCCCTTACTTACTATGCCTTTGTACTTAACCCGCAGGGAGATCCTGCGGACCACATCGGATCTCCCTGCGAGGTCATATGCCTTATGCTTACCACTTAGTATAAATACTCATACTCTACGCTCCTGTACTTCAGTTTCGTTATTAACGTTTCTTGCCTCGCTCTCCGCTCTCGTCCGACTCCTCCCCGCGTTCTAAGCCTTATCGCCTTCGGCTTCTCCGAACGTATCCGCGGGAGTTCACGTATTTGTTCAGACTTGCTTTCGGCCTGCAAGACGTGTAGTCGCTCACTCCGATATAGTGTTGTGATAGCCACTCGGTTCTGCTTCGGACTTTCCGTTACTTCCTTTCGGTTCTTGCACGGCACTTAACAGTATAACGAAACTCAACTACTCGCCTTGCCATGTCTGGACACTTTTCCCCAACGACTCCCTCTCCCCAACGCGCGGTTCTGTACGCAGCGCCTCACAACCCCCCTTTGGTTTCTCCTTTGGTTCAAATGCCTTCTCGGGATCGACACTCGCATACGGAGCAAGGCCTACAAGTCCGTGTTATGGCCGACCGTCGTCAATCCCGCTTGTTCAGTCAAGTACCTATTTTGCGCTCTCCTACTCAGTACGTCTCTTCCTCTCCTGGTCCAAACACACAATTCATTGTTCCCCCTCAATTCGCGGTTCCCCGGTATCAAGACATTCCTGTCAATACCGCTCCACCATACTTCATGCCTCAACCTCGTCGCCACTCATCTGATGCTATTTTTTTTGATGAATCGCTCCTCCCTCGGCCCCTCCGTAAATACGCCGACGCTCAAACTTCGCCCCGTCTTCACGAAATTGTGGAGACTAACGAAGGTGTTGGTGGGGGAAATCCGGGAGGTGATGGCGGCGACGGTGGGGATGAAGGTGGGGAACCCGAGGGTGGAAATGAAGGGCCAGGAGGAGGCGGAGGACCCGATACCCCTCCGAACCGAGGCTCTCCCCTTCCGGGAGGTGGCCCTGGCGGACCTGGTGGACCTGGTGGCCCGGGTGGCCCCGGAGGCCCCGGCGGTCCTGGTGGAGGTGGTGGAGGTCGAAGACCTGAGTCTTCTGCGTCTTCAAATCTGAGCGAAGATCGCCAGTGGTTCCGTAACGGTATGGCCGCCCTGATTGACGTTTTGACTGGCATTCGCAATGGCCAGCAACGTCCAACGACTCAGCGGCAATCCCGATCCAACCTTCGGAACCCCGACCCGTTTGATGGCTCTGAATCCTCAAAGCTAAGACCCTTCTTGGCTATTGTTTACCTGCATTTTGCTGAACGCCCTGACGCCTTCCCCGATGATGAATCTCGCATCATCTACGTCCTCTCGTACTTGAAGGGATCAGCACTTGCTTGGTTCGAGCCGGCCATCTACGACGCCGACCCCAACTTCTTGCCAGCCTGGCATAACAACTTTCCAGCTTTTGTTCAAGAGCTGCAAGACCACTTCGGCCCTGTGGACCCCGTCGGTGACGCCGAGACTGCCCTTCGGCATCTCCGTATGTCCTCCGGCGACCACATCTCGAAATACTTGGTCGAGTTTCACCGTCTTGCTTCGCTTGCTGGCTGGGGTCTAGTCGCCCTTCGTTCTCAGTTTTACGAAGGTTTGGCTCCACGGGTTAAGGATGCACTCCTTAATATGGAATACGACACTACTCTCCTCGGCGTCAGCGCGGCAGCTAAGAAAGCTGATCACCGTTACTGGCAACGCGTAGCCGAGAAGAAACGCGAAGGCATGACGTCTGGTAATGCCGGACGCTCCGACTCTTCGAGCTCTGCTCAGAGTTCGAATTCTAACCAGAAGGGTGGTGGGAAGAAGAAGGACAATCATCGGTCCTCTTCGGGAAATTCTGGTTCTTCCTCGTCGTCTAACAACTCGGGCAACAACAACAACGGCAACAGGGGCAACAACAACGGAAAGGGTTCGGGTTCTCCGAATACCTCCAAACCCTACGCCAATGTGCTCGACAAAGACGGGAAGCTAAGTCAAGCCGAAAAGGATAGGCGCAAAAAGAACAAGTTGTGCCTGTACTGCGGCGAAGACGGCCATATGCGGGACAAATGTCCCCATATTCCGGCCAACAAGACGGCTTCTGGGAAAGCGTCGACCGCGGAGACCTCCGGTAAATCCGCAAACACCTCCAACGCTAACGAGTCAAAAAAATAGTTAGCAGCTCTGGCGATACCTCCTCGCACGCCCAGAGCTGCGTTGACTCAGGTGCGATTTCCGAGGTTGTCCTCAACGCGTCCGCTCTTTCCCCTAATGCCCTTTTCCTTGATCTACTCGTCTCTCTAGTTTCTCCTCTCTCTCTCGGACTCTCCCAGCCGTATTCAACCACGGTAGTATCGGACTTAGCGAAGGTAGCCTCGGGTTTCAACATCCTGTTGCGTACTCTTGTCGACTCGGGCTCTTCTCATTGTTTTATATCTTCGTCTACTTGTGAAACGCATCATATTTCCTCGTATTCGATCGCTCCGATTCGACTCCGATACCTCGACGGCTCTTTCTCTCTAATCGATCGGCAAGTCCGATTGCCTATTCGGTTTCCTTCTGGCGAAGTGCACCTCCTGGACTTCTTTGTCACCCGTCTTGATTCTCCCAGTGATTTGGTACTCGGATACAACTGGCTTCACCGCTTCAATCCGTTGATTGACTGGTCGATGGCTAGTATCTCTTTCCGGACTACAGTTATTGAAGATTCTGTGTCGACACACGAGCCTCTGGCTCCTTCTGCTTCGGAAGTTCCGCATCTGCCCCGAACTGTCCCTAGCTCGCACCCTGCCAACCTTCCTCGGGCTCACGACCCAACTTTAACACCTTCGTCGGATCCTATTCCTTATTCCCTTCCCTCGACATCAGAAACCCCCATCTCCGCACCGCTTGTCTCTCTGGTCTCCGCTAGTGCTTTCTCTGCTGTTCTCGCTCAGAAAGGTACAGTTCAGTACGTCCTCCGAATGCAACCCTCGGAGGAAGCACGGGCGCGAGCCGGGTCTGTTGATGAAGACCTCTCGGCTCTTCCGAATGAATACCGGGAGTTTGCTGACGTTTTCTCTGAGTCGGAAGCCTTCAACTTACCACCTCATCGGGAGTACGATTTGCACATCGAAACCGAACAGGGTGAAGTCCCTCCAATTGGCCATATCTACTCGCTCTCTGAAAAGGAGCTCGCGGCCCTTCGGGATTTCCTGGACAAAAACCTTAAGTCTGGCTTCATTTACCCTTCTAAATCGACTCACGGAGCTCCCATACTTTTCGCGAAAAAGAAGGACGGTTCGCTTCGCTTATGCGTTGACTATCGTGGTTTGAACAAGATCACGAAAAAGGACCGTTATCCACTTCCTCTTATCGCTGACCTTTTGGACGCTCCGGGACGGGCCCGAATCTATACCAAACTCGACTTGCGGCACGCTTACCACCTACTTCGCATCGCGGAGGGCGATGAATGGAAAACGGCCTTTCGCTCTCGCTACGGCTCTTACGAATGGCGAGTTGTACCTGAAGGCTTGACCAACGCCCCTGCAGCCTGGCAACGCTTCGTCAACAGTCTGTTCGCAGATTTGCTGGACGTGTGCGTTATTGTTTATTTGGATGACATTCTGATTTATTCGGACGATCCGAAACAACATACGGCCCACGTTCGGGAAGTCCTAAAGCGACTCCGCGCTGCCAACCTTTACTGCAAGCTTCCCAAATGCGAATTTAGCGTCACTACGACAGAGTACTTGGGGTACATCCTCTCCCCCGACGGTTTCCGTATGGCTCCCGAAAAGGTCGCCGCCGTCGTTGATTGGCCTACCCCGCGTAAAGTCAAGGACGTTCAGTCCTTCCTTGGCTTTTGTAACTTCTATCGGAGGTTCATAGACGGCTATTCGGACATTACTGTCCCTCTTACCCGTCTAACGCGTACTAACGTCAAATGGGTTTGGTCTTCTGATTGTCAAAAGGCCTTTGATCATTTAAAGGCTGCTTTTTCTCATGCACCCATTCTTCACCATTGGGTTCCCGGTCGGCAAATCACGGTTGAGACCGATGCCTCCGACTATGCTATCGCGTCTATTCTTTCGATTGACGGCGACGATGGCGACATCCACCCTGTGGCTTTCCGAAGTCGCACCCTCGGACCTTCCGAATTGAACTACGACGTTCACGATAAGGAGCTCCTCGCTATTTTCGATGCTTTTTCAGTGTGGCGCCACTACCTTGAAGGCTCGGAGACTCCTATCGACGTGGTCACTGACCACAAGAACCTCGAGTATTTCTCTTCTACGAAGATACTCACGCGTCGTCAAGTTCGCTGGTCCGAATACCTTTGTCATTTCAACTTGACAATCCGCTTCCGTCCGGGCCGCCTGGGCGGAAAGCCCGATGCTTTAACTAGACGATGGGACGTCTACCCTAAAGAGGGGAAAAAACGTACCGGCAAGTTAACCCCCAAAATTTGCGTCCTATCTTTTCTTCTGACCAACTATCGGCATCACTACGGGCTACCCTGCTCGAGGACGTTTGTCTTCGCGCAACTGTTGTCATGGACCTCGAAAAACTCCACAAAGACATTCGAGAGCACCTCCGTGACGATCCGGCTGCTGTCATCGGCATTACCGCTGCTGAATCTGGCTCTTCTAACCGCTGGACTCTTGACGAATCTGGGCTTTTACGCCTTGATGGTCGCATTTACGTCCCCTTAACCAACGGGACGTCCGAAGAACTCCGAGTACGTGTACTTCAGTATCGTCATGATCATATTCTGGCTGGTCACTTCGGTCAGAATCGTACTTTGGAACTAGTTCGGCGCGACTATACTTGGCCGGAGCTCCGAACCTTCGTCCGAGTCTATGTTCAGTCTTGCGTTCTTTGCAAGCGCAACAAGAAGCCTCGACACAAGCCATACGGTTTACTCAAGCCGTTACCTGTCCCTCTTCGCCCTTGGCATTCTATTTCCATGGACTTCATTGAAGGCTTACCCAAATCTGGCGAGTACGATACTATCCTGGTTATTGTTGACCGCGCATCTAAGCAAGCGATCTTCATTCCCTGCGATAAACACATCGACTCCCCGGAGCTGGCACGGCTTTTCCTTATCCATGTCTTTTCGAAACACGGTATCCCCGAACACGTCACTTCGGACCGAGGTAGAGAATTCGTCTCAGCATTCTTTCGATCTCTTGCTATGCTCTTGAACATGGAGATGCACTATACGTCTGGCTACCACCCGGAGGCTGACGGACAAACCGAACGTGCTAACCAAACCCTCGAGCAGTACATTCGCATGTACACTTCGTACCAGCAAGACGATTGGGACCAACTCTTACCCTTAGCTGAGTTTGCTTATAACAACGCTCCTAACGCGTCTACGGGCATCTCACCTTTCTTCGCTAACAAGGGTTATAATCCAACTCTTACGGTCAATGCTGACTTGGACGTTCCGAACATTCCCGCTAGAGACTACACTGTCGAACTTCAATCGCTTCACGAGTTCCTACGCGAACAAATTACTTCTGCTCAGGAAAGGTATAAGGAGACTGCTGATCGAAAGCGGATTCCCCAACCTGACCTGGCAGTTGGCGACTCAGTCTATGTCCTGGCGAAGTACATTCGGACGACCCGACCAACTCCGAAGTTCTCTGAACAATTCCTTGGCCCCTACGAAATCATTGCGAAACCCAGTTCTGCTTCATATACGCTACGTCTTCCAAAAAATATGCGAGCCATTCACCCAGTCTTTCACGTATCTCAGCTCGAAACTTCCATTCCTAACCCCTTCCCTGATCGCGAACCGGAGCCCCCGGCCGCGGTCGAGGTAGATGGTGAAGAACAATGGGAAGTTAAAGAGATTGTCGATTCTAAGATCGATCGGAGATGCCGAGTTAGACTCCGCTACTATGTCGAATGGCTTGGTTTCGAAAACACTGACGAGCAATACTCCTGGGTTGGCGCTGACGACATTGCGGATGCTCCTGACCTTATCGAGAGTTTTCACAAGAAGTATCCTCAGAAACCTGGGCCTGACTACTAATGCCCTTCGGACTCTCCGTCTTACTCCGACTTCTTACTCTTGGTCACTCTGGTCTTTTCGGCACTTGGTTTCTTGCGGTCTTCTATTTACATTGGGCTATTCTATTTACTGCCCTTGTCTTGGTCCCTTGGACGACCCCTCACCCTTATCGGCCTCTCCGCCCTTCTCCGAATGCTTCTTCGACTTCTTCTTCTTCTTTGGAGGCTGCTCAGCCTCGGGTTCGGGGGTCGCCGGCTTTTCCTTGCGCTTTGCCTCCTTCTCGTCCTCAAGCCTCCGCTGCCTGTGACGCTTGTGCTCCATTTCCCTTCTGGCCTTATCCAACCGATCGCGCCAATTCGCATCGTACTCGCGGTCGGTTATATTCAACCGTTCGCGCATGTCGGCTTGGTTCCGGTAAAGCCGAGCCCGCGCTCGGGACCTCCGCGCCTCGTACGCCTCCTGCGATTGATGCTCGGGTTCCTCCGAGCGTTGCCGAAGCTGCCCCGCGACCTCGGTCCTATAAGCCACGTCGTAGTCGAGGAACTCGTAGGCGCTGTTCTCGACGTTGTCGTCGTGGTGGTTGCGCGCCAGCATCAAGATGGCGTTTTGATTGCCATGGGTATACGACAAGAGATTGTCGATATCTTCCTCGTTGTCGCGCTAAAGGTTGGTTAGTACTTCGGATACTCCGTTGACATCCGATAACGCACCATTGCTTGGTTGAACCCTGCGAGCGACTTCTGCGTCGCGTTCAACTCCATCGTCATACTCTTGACGCCCTCGCCGTACACCCCCAACCCATCCTCCAAGTCCTGCACTCTTCGGCGCAGCCGCGCAAGCTCCGAGCGAGAGCCTCCACCCGAGGCGAACCTCTGCTCAAGGAGCCTCCGGCGGGCCTCCTGTGCGTCGCGCAGGTCGCATTTCTGCTTCTGTCGGCGACACCGCGTGCACGCCGGCCCCGGTCCAGCGACGCAGGGCTCCTGCTCTCTGTCCGCCGTTGGTCGACGACTGCAGCGTTTACACTCTGTTGAGTTGGGTTAGTACGGCTCACTTCGGACGATCCGCCACGCACCGACTGGTGGCAGCTCGGCCTCGTTCGGCCCGTCCGAATCGCTGGGTGCCTCCTCTCTAGCCGGCTCCTTGCCCTTGCGGGACTTCTTCTTTGGGGCGGCCTTTTTGCTCGGCCCTTGGTTGTTTTTGTTGGGCGGCTGACGGTTTGGTGCTGCGGACGACATGGGGAAAATTGATGGCAATGGTCGGTTTCTCCGCCGCCTTATATGGTGAAAATTTCGGCAATCACCGGCAGGTCACGTTTTGTTCTAGATGTTTCTATGACTCTCGGGGCGAGAGTCTTAACGGGGGAGTACTGTTATATCCCGTGCATCTTCGGACGCTCCGAGGTTATCCTTGGAGCGCAACAGGGTTTTTACGCGATGAAGGTATCTGAGCGTTTCCCTTCAAACAGTTAATCTGCACGCAGACTCTCTCGGACCTGTTCGGACCCTCCGACCATCAACTCGGATCTTTACCCATTTGGACTTGCGTTTGTTTACTTATATCCTTTAGGCGTTCGCCTTGTTTCCTTTGCCTCGTGTATGTCTTCTCGTTCCCCTTACTTACTATGCCTTTGTACTTAACCCGCAGGGAGATCCTGCGGACCACATCGGATCTCCCTGCGAGGTCATATGCCTTATGCTTACCACTTAGTATAAATACTCATACTCTACGCTCCTGTACTTCAGTTTCGTTATTAACGTTTCTTGCCTCGCTCTCCGCTCTCGTCCGACTCCTCCCCGCGTTCTAAGCCTTATCGCCTTCGGCTTCTCCGAACGTATCCGCGGGAGTTCACGTATTTGTTCAGACTTGCTTTCGGCCTGCAAGACGTGTAGTCGCTCACTCCGATATAGTGTTGTGATAGCCACTCGGTTCTGCTTCGGACTTTCCGTTACTTCCTTTCGGTTCTTGCACGGCACTTAACACATATCATAAGCATATATATGAACCTCAGTCCACAGGGTATCCAACCTGCTCAACAGCCCTGTGCACAGAACTGTCTGAGTTCCTGCATAGACATCAAAATGTATACCAGGGGACACTGTGTTCAGCACACAGCACAGATTAGTAAGTATTTTTTCCTGGTTTTCACAGCCTCTACCCCTGGTAACGAGTTGTCTATATAACTACTGGTGAACAATGCCACAAGGGCTCTATGAACTCATTAGCGGGTTTGCAATTAGCCACCGAAGCCAAGTACAATTCGGGACAGCACGACAGACAACGCACTCGCGCCAGTCCCCCTTGCCAACGTCGTGCACGCTGAATGGGTGCGGGCTCTGGCCCGACAGCGGCGGGATCACTCTTCATCTTCGGGGAGGAGGATCATTGTGTGAGGCAAGGGGCGAATGCCCCACCGTCCCGGAGGTGGTGTGGGGTGGTGCACGGTGCACTGCAGAGGAAGGAAGGTGATCGCTGCCAGAATAGCCGACCGTGCGAGGGCCGCCCTGCGCGGGGTTCACACGCACGGAGCACGAGGCAGATGCAGCCTGCCACATCACAGCCCGGCGCCGTCGTCCCTTCACAGGCCGCCAGTTCGAATTCAAATGTCTTGCCACCTTTTCGCATCCGGTTTATCACTCGGTGTCTACACCGGGAAACCCCGGCTTGGCAGACACATGTGGTCTGTACACAAGGAAAATCGAACCGCTGCCAGTGGATCTGTGGGCTTCCCGAGTACACGGAGTTACGATCTGTATCACAGGCTGCTCAATGCATCAAGGGAGACCAGAATTCCGTGCTGTAGAAAATTAAGGGTATTGCAGCATCAAAAATATCCTGTGTTTGGTTTACAAATCAGGTGATCAACACCAATCCAGGACACCGAGAATTACAGTCAAATCTTTTATATGGAATAACCTGATGTGGAATAACCCCCATATGGAATGGGGTTGGGGCTTCCACAGCCTTGGGAGAACCAAATATTCCACATGAGAGAGACACCACTTCTTCTTTTACTATGTAAATCCAACATTTTTTAGGGGGTGACGAGCCTGGATCGTCACAAGTCATACTTTGTCACGCAGTTTGATTTCCTAGTTTAGTTTCCACTGCCTTTTCTAGTTGCCATTTCCTACCTTAGTTTCCATTCTCTATCTTTCCTGACTTTGTTGCTCATTTTCCATTGGATTTTAGTTTCTATTTCATTTAGCCTTTCTTTATTTAGTCTATAAAAGCCAGTCTGTAGTTAGTAGTTAGCATTATATTCCCTTCCATCATATCTGCTTCCCCTTCTTTCCCTTCTGAGTTTGAGTTCTCTCTTGAGTTCTTGAGTTCTTGGTGTTGCGTTTCCTGAGGAGTTTGTTAGCTCTGAAGGCACTTGCACACTTAGATCTTGTTTGTCTTTTGGCAAGCAAACACGTCAGGGGGTATTTAATATTGATAAATATATAAAATAAGATTGCATGTAGAATATTTGTCATATGGAATGGGCCTGGGGCTTCCACCAACATTATTCCATATGACAGATTTGACTGTATAACCTCTTTTTGATACCCAAAGGCCGCTCTCCCTTGTGCCCAGTGCCATACAAGCCAGCAGCTAGTTTCCGCTGTCCCAGAGTTGCATGACGTAGGTTTGCTCCTAGCTCATTTGAAGTCATTTCCTTATTTTCCTTTTCCTTCTTATGTACAGGGCTAGATGTAGGACATGCATAATACGTACATATCAAGTGCCGTGCAGAACAGGGGGGAGTTTCCACTATAGCTAGCAAGCCAGTAGCTGCCTGACACAAATGAACACAAGACCAACCGGACCGGAGCGGAGTCGGAATGGACAAGGTCCGCGAGCTGAGTGAAGTCCAGTTGAAAGACAAGAGAAGAGAGAGGAGTTATTGGAGTTGTTCTGCACAGAGGAGGAGTGCAGGTAACGTTTATAATCAAGCTAAAGTACTATAGCCACTTTAGCTGTTTAAATACTAATTGTAAGTAGAAACCGAATACCATAAGTAAGTACAAGGTACGGAGTGCTTATAGAAAGTAACAAGCATAAGGACATACGGAGATGTAAGTAACAAGGCGAAAGACATTTAGAGTACAAGGTCGCCGGAGCGACTGGATTGGATCGGGCCACCGGAGCCCGGTGGCCGGTCCCGCAGGCTGCGGCTGTTGACAAATGCACAAATATGAGAGTACACACAAATTATAACTCCAGTCTCCTCTCCCAAAGCCATCCAACCTGCCCAACAGCCCTGTGCCCCCCCGCCTCATACTAGACCCCACATCAGGTATCACCCCAGAGACACTGTGTTCAGCGCACAGCACAGGCATAGATGCCAACCATTTGGGTTCTTTTGAGTTTTGACTTTTTGCAGATGTCTGCACAGAGCAGTAATACACTTAGAAAATGAGCAGTGAAACGCGGAGGAACGGTAGGAACAGTGGGTGGAGGATGGGGGCAATGTGGGGACAGGGGACAAACAAACACAAACACGGACCCACACAAACACAAACACAAAACAAAACACACACTCAGTCACTAGACACACTTGTGGTAGACACTTGATGTCAACCCTAACCCTAGATCAGGGTTACTCCCAATTCGACAATAGTTCCTAGTTCGTAGCGCGCAAGTACGGGGGTTCCAACCAAAGTATATGGTTGTTGCAATCCAGATAGTCTTCAATCAACAGTTGGTGTGGGTGTGGGGGTTATGTTCAACAATGTTCAGCAAAATTTGACGATAGTTTCGGTATATCACTCAATATGACGATAGTCCCGACGTTCGGCGTTCTCGGGCAGCGTTCTCGTAGCGTTCTCGGGTACAGTTCACGTGTTCACAGTCTTCGTAGTCGTTGTCGGCGTTGATCAAAACCTTTCCTCTATGGGGAGCAATGCAACCGCTATGGGGGGCGCGTTGGATTCTGGGGTATCTACTACAAAATCGAGCTGAATATATACTCCTCGCTTAGCTAATATTGATGGCCCCGGCCGCCCCGGCCACGGTCACGTGCTGTTTCACCTCCAGGTTTCGCCCACTTGCGACGTGTCGCACATTGCACGTGACATTTCACCTCACGTTTTAAAGCTCCGCACGAGTGTCAACACCCGCGGATGTTTGCACAGGTACCTGCAGGAAAACATCCGCAGGTTTGACATCCGCGGATACAGGTATCCGTTTCCCACGGATGCCAAGAGTACAGGTATGACTCTAGAAGATCTTAATTTTCATTATCTTCTATATATTCCAGTCACTACAGTCTTCTTATGCCCTGTAGTGTCCATATCAGTATATTACTTGATACTATACTCTATATAAGCTCTTAATATTGTCAATATACCTCAGTATCCTAATATGTTATTCAAAATACCCGTGGATAACCCGTGCAGGTACCCGTATCCATGAGTACAGGTACCTGTTTCCCACGGATGCTGCAAATGCAGGTATTGGTTTTGAAGCCTAAATTACCCGCAGGTAGAGTACAGGTATTTATCCGTGACACTCGTGAGAAGCCTTATTACGTTTTATCCACCTCCCCGCGTTTGAGCTCGTGTTCCAACCGTGCACGACGTGTTCGAGCCGAAACGCGACGGCCATTGGGTGGTTTTGTGTTTCCTGGTCGGCCTACCGCCGGCCCGGTCGGGTCACGTGTCGGCCGACGCCCGGGCAGCCCAAGGCTGTCGTATTCGTCGTTCCAAGGTGTTTCCAACACCCGTCGCGTAGTGCGCGCGACATCAGTAGAGCAGATTAATGATCAATCAAACTCTAACCGATTCAAATCCTAACTTTTGTGTGTGTGTGTGTGTGTTCGGGGGTTCAAGTTGCAGGAAACAACTAACCAAATTCAGAGATGTTCAGGGACGTCTCCAGAGAGGTGGAGGTGTGAGGGTGTGCAGCCTGGGGCGCTGCAGTAGGCACGAGCCTTAACGGCAGTAGGCCTCACCCAAAGGAAGACCCAATGACGGGGGGCCGTGGTGGCGGAGTGGGGAGCGGAGCCATGGCGAGGCTTAGTTATTTGAACATAAGACCGAACACTGACGTAGGTTGGGGACACCCAAGAGGTCCAATGGGTAGAGGTTGCAGGGAGACCTCGATGAGCGACAGCCCAGAGAGGCTATAAGGCCATAGGCTCGAGGTCTCAGAGGAATGTGGTGCGTCCACATCCGGAGAGGTCTCCGATGGCATTAGTGATCCCTGATGGCATTAGTGATCCCTGATGGTGACTCCGGAGAGACTCCCAGAA